CGGTAGCACGCGCAGAAGGGGCGTTCGAAACGTGCACGCAGCTGGTCTGTTTGCACACGATTGAGGAGCTAACAAGCGCGATCGCACGCACCGGCTACACGTGCCGGTCCGCCTCTGATCGAGGCCCACCCAGCCTTCGGCCTGGCTCATGTGCGGCCTAGCGATTGAGCAATAGAAGCGCCGTTCCGGCCTGCCAAAACGGACCTGCTCGTGCGCACGTGCGTGCCAGCACCGGATGCGACCGAGTCGAGTGGATCGGCTGCTTGTACGCGTGGCGCGCGCGTGTGCTGGCCGTTTTGACCGCCGGCGACTCTGATCAAACGATGTTGCCGTTTGAATCGAGGCCTGTATCGATCGCTGGGTCGTGTGATGGTGAGCCAAGCTAACTCCAGCCGATCCGGACGGTGCCTGCGAGCCAAGCCTGCGTTAGGCTCGCGTCAGGCCGGCGCGACGACTCACCGGCTCGTCCGCGGCCTGCTCGGTCACGTTTGCGGCGCAGGTGGCATATTCTGCACGTCTATCCACGGCTCGATCGCGACTCAATGGCCCGACGCAATTTCGTTGGGCAGTTTCGGTTTCTCCTCGTCCGAATTTACTCTTTCCTCTTTTGCCCACTAGCGTTACTATTTCGTGTTTCATTTCTTTGTTTTTCGTGTGTGCCTCGTCCGTTTAGTCTGCCATTTGCTGTCGTTCCTCTTTCATTTTTGTCTTTTGTGGCACTCTTCGTCTTCCGACTTTATTTACTCTTCTCTCGCTTAGTTTGTATATCTCTTTGCGTGCCTTCTCGTTTTGCCACTTTTGCTTCTTCTCATTCTGATCGTCTAGTTCACATTTGTCTCTCGACTTTCCTCTGAATTCTTTATTTCACACTTATTCAACATATTTATTTTTCCATCTTTCGCCTCCCTTTACTCTTTGTCCCCGTCAGAATAGTCCAGCAAGGCTAAATGACAATTGGTCAAAAGGAATTTGTTGTAGAGACCTAATTTCGAGCGAAAGTGGATGAAGAAGGTATTCGCAGATTGATCCCACCAGAAGACAACGGCTCATGTCTGTTCGACTGCAGCCGTTTCGGCATTAATACAACATTCAAGTTGACCCCGCCGACGAGACATCCTCCCTCGCTTCAGGTGAAAATGAGGTCAACTATCATACCTCATTTGAGCTAGAAT